CCCTGCTAACCACCATTCTTGTCCTCAGTCAATGTCCTATTTAGCTGAGTTACACTCTCCAATTCCTTTGGGAGCTTTCCTGGTTTTCAGTCTATCACCTCTATTGAACACCTCTCACAAGCATCGTGTGAAGTCCATTATTTTATTTCATTTTCATTATCTTTACAGTTAAAAATGTCACACTCTGATTCTTCCAAGAAGTTCACATCACTGCAGTCAACATTGAGTATTTCTGAGATGTGTCATTTTCTGTCAGTGCTTTGCAGAATTTTCCCTCTCCTTTTGTTCCTTGGTTTTATTGGAACATTTTACTCTGCTCATAAAGGATGTGGAGTCTCACTAATTGTAGCAGTTCATGCCTCGCTGCTTCTGATGTGTGTCCAGCTCAGTTCTAATTGTGGAATCATACAGTTTCCTCTCCTTGGCATCCTTTGGAGCAGCACAGACCTGGATCACAGTGGAGTTAAAAGGCTGTGTTCCTGAACAAGTCATGATGGTAATTAAGTTGCCTGGTTTGTAGCCAAGTGGTGCTTTTCTGTCCCTAACACTTAGGATTGTGCCAGTTCCTCTTTTATGCTTTATTTTGTCATGTGAGAAAATGATCTCACTATCTGCTGTCTCTCACTTGCCTGGCCACCTGGCTTTTAAGAGGCCTTCTATGTCATGTTGCTACCTTTGTAATTCATTCATTAGCAAGGATATTTCACCAGGGTGCCAACGCAGTCTTACATTCCAGGTTCTGTTAGAACTAGAGAGGGGAGGTGATTTTTACCTGTTAGACATGCTGATAATAAAATACTACATATAGTTCTGCCTTCCACACTTTAAAAAGGATGCAGGAGAATTTCACTGGATCAGAAAAGTTACAAAAAGTCATTTGAGGGCTGCAGGAGATATGTTCCTAGGAAATGTATAGGGAGCAGAAGATGTTTAGCATATCAAAAGGAAGATGAAGAAGATATATGATTATAGCGTATGAGTACCTTCACTAGAAGAAAACATGAAACACTAAAGGCTTTTTCAACTGGGTAAAGAAAGGCATAAAAAGAACCAAAGGGCAGATATATTCAAATTAAAAATAAATCTGAAATATATTTCTAAAAGTTTAGACGATTAACACACTGAACACAGTTTCAGACAAGTGGTAGATTCCCCTTGAACCTTCAAATTTTCCTCCATGGGAGCTGTACCCTGTTTCTGAGCAATTTGTATCTGTATCTGTAATAACTCTGGCGCACAACCTTGATGCATTTGCATGGTTTTTCTCCCCTCTGATCTCTCAAGACCTGAAAATCCAAATATACATGGTGCCTAGGAATGTTCACATGCAGAACTGATGGGGGGGAGCATGCTCCTAATGCCTCTTTCTGAGGGGTCAGCCAGCCACGGTGGTGGTTCCAGTGCCCCAGTCCAACACTTGTAGTGCTGCCAAGGGATCATACAGCATGGAAGATGCAGAAATATTCAAACTGCCCTAAAAACTACAGTTCTCTCTATGATTTGATTTATAGCCATGCTTGGAAATCTGTCTATGGAGTTAATGGCAAATTTTTTGCTGTAATTCTTCAGGCTGGCCTCCTTACAGGTGGTGAACTCTTTTCTTTCAGCAGCATCATGTAAGTAATAATTTGTTAAGAAACTGGATTGTCTGAAGTTACTACTGTCTCATGCTCTCAGTGTGATAGCTGCTGGTCATATGAAACTTATGGCCTTCTCAAAGTGGCTGTAATTTTTCATGGTCCTCAATTTGAGAAAACGAGACAAAAATTTCTCACTCATCTGCACCACTTTTGGTAACATTCAAGTTCACCTTCATCCTCAAAGCATCTTTGTTCTCCATGGAAACAGTTGTGGGTGACAAATGTCTTTTAAGAGAATATCTTAACTGATATAAGTCAGCATTGCTAAAGCTTTAAAGATTGGAATACTTGTATATACTGTCAGTAAAATGTAAAGGACCATTGTCAACTTGAACTTTCCAAAGTTATTTGCATTTGGAAAATTGATATTTTCCAAACAGATACTTATCTTCAGAAGTATTTTATTAACTTCAGTCCCTCTAAGGAAATGCAGTAGAAAAAGGAGTTTTGTGGGTTTCCTATTGGTGTCTGTCAAAGTTATTCTAGGACAGGGTTAGTGTTTAGGTAATACCTTAATAAAACCAGACTTCCTTCGCTTTTTTTGGTCCCATAGAAAGATCTGGTGAGGACAAAGTAGATTTTATTTTTTATTTTATATTTTAGGAAAATTTGGCATAAGAGCAAACAAAGTTGATTTTTTTATCATGAAAAATTCAGCTACTAATGGGAAAAAAATTGCAATTTCTCTTATAGTGTCTGTAAATTGTGAAGTCTTATCATTTGTCTGAAACGCATGTGTTGTAGATGCACTCACGTTACGCTGGATGCTCCTTGAGCCTTGGCACCTTTGAATTAGACACATGCGAGCTTCATACCCTGTAAGGCCAGGGTTGAGAGGACCTGGCAGAGAGTGAGAAATATGCTTTCACCTGACTGTGTATGCACAGGGACATTCTTAACCTGGACTTCTATAAAGAAGTGACACTCCTTAATGGAATAACTCTAGATTTTTATCACATTATCTGAGAACTCTTCAGAGGATATTTTCCCTTTAAAATGATTAAGGCTTGCACTGGAAAAAAGTTTCCAGAGCATTTCCTACTCTTTGTATGATTTTAGGAAATAACAAGCTGGTGATGGACTGTTCATGGAGATTTATCAAGCAGTCGATAGAGACATACTTCTCAGGTAATTTGTTCTGCTGTTAGGAGTATTTCATAGCTGTAGGAAAGGAGCATAGATAAAATTGAATTGTCAGTTGCTTCTTTTAGCCTAAATAAAAAATAACATGATAATGTTGCAAAAGTCTTGTAACTTCAGGAATTAGAGAAATTGTATCTGTAGTTCTGATGTAAACCCTGAAATTTTACACTCATTGCATTTTTCTGGTGAATGTAGGTGGGTTTTTCTCCAGAGGGGTTAGTTATTGTTGCCTATTTTTGAGTGAGGACTGGATTATTTCTGCATTACTAGTATCATAATGACTTTCTGATTCTTTTACTGACTTTGAGTTTAGACTGGTTCTTTAAATGATTATTGGTTGGAGTCTCAATATTGTTGCTGAGCCCTACTTTTGAGGGATATCTGTTTTGAAATAAATTATCAAAGAATATTTACGACCAGGAGTATTTTAACCTCCTCGAGCTTTGAATGCTTGATTATAATATTTTTTATCTTAAGGGGTGCTTTATATTTCTCCCTGCATCATAAACAAAAATTGGACAGTCTATGTACATATGCAAAACTTGTATTGACCATCAGCCTGCATTGACAGCAATAGCTTTTCTTTTCCTTACTGTTGTTAATTTAATTTCTCACTCCTTATCATCTGAAGGGTTCAAAATAGAAGGTAAACATTAAGCTCAGAATGCTACGTAAGTTAGAAAGTTTTTCATTGTAAGATAATTCAACCTAATTACCATATGAGCTTTTCAGTAGTTTAGACAGCTGCACAACAGACAGTAAAAGTTTTAAAATAATAAAAGACAGTTTTCCTGTAGCAAATCTAATCTGCTTATGATAGCACAATGCTCATTTTATGAGGCTGCATTTATTCTCATAATTGACTATTTCTTGTCCTTAAATGGCTATTTATTCATGTCTGCCACCTTTTTCTCAGTTTATTGACCCTATGGTGACCACAGTATTTTTTCTTCAAAATCAATCGACATTTTATTAAAAGAGTTTGCTAGATGTTTAGTTTAGTGAGTTAGTGGCAAATAGTACATGTCACATGCCAGCTTGTCACATTAAATAATCACAGTTGAAAGGAGAATATTCAGTGGCTAAAGTAGATATAGAATATATGCATTTATTTTATTTCAGTATTGTTACTGTTTTTAGAATAATGAGTTTTGGCAAAACTCATCTTGGGATGCTGTAAGTATTCCAAATAGTGCTTTTTCCCAGAAATTTCTGTGCAGTGCAAGCTGGCATTACGTTGACATGGACACTGAATTTCTATACACACTCAAGAGTGGCAGTCTAGGAAAGTTGAAACTTGTGCGTTATACAAATTAAAATACTAAAACTTCTAAGCTGTGCGCTAATTACTTACCCTAAGGTATTACTGTTTTATTTAAAAGGTTATGGTCAACTCTTTGATAGCAGTGATACTGTTTTTCTTTCCATGCTTTGCCTTGTATTTCTAAAGACGTTGCGAAGCTATTTCTGCTGTCTGGAATGTATAGAGTCATTCTTCATTAGTTCAGTGTATGGTACAGCCAGAGTTATTCAGAAAGGGATCAAGCAGGGCGGATTGACTTCAGCCACTCTGCGCAGTTATAAGCAGTCCCTGCTCATTACAAAGTGAGACATCTTATTATATACGGGGTTGTGGCATCAGATTTTATCCTGGCTGCCTGCATGAAGCTTTGACCCTGAGCCACACACAGCTTACTGCAAGAGAGCTGAGCTTTTCAGGTAGTGCTCAAGTTGAATTTTTCTATGCTCAGTCATCTTAATGCCATCACAGTTAAATCCACACAGATTTTCTTTTTTTTTTTTAAGAAAAGATTTTTACTATCATTAGATGAACAGTATCAAAAATGTTCACATCAAAACTTATGTTTTTTCTTTATACCAGAGACTTAATTAAAAGTAAAATTTGCATCTGAAGATGAATTTTTTGAAATTCTCTTTGTGTTTGAGTAAGACCTGTTAGCTAATCTTATCTCTAGTGTCTGTACATTCTTTTTAATATTTATTGTTCACTTCAAAACAGGTTGTGTAGCCTTAAGGAAAAAAAAGGTCAAAAAAGCAGCATGGATTAAAGCTGAAGATAAATTTAGAATTTTTTCCAGAAGCTAGGAGGGAATTTCTACTTACTCGGGTTTTTTTGTCCATTGAATGCAGGTAAGCCAATGTGCTCTTGTTTGATGTAAGGAAAACCACATGCTGATGCAGAATGTGTGTTTCTAGATGCCAGGTTGACCTGTCGACCCTGAGTAAAGAACAAACCCACAAGTTGGAGATGCCACTAGAGGAGGGAGAGGGATACCTGGTGTTGCTGGTCACTCTCACAGCCTCAGCTGCAGTCACCATATCTGACCTCTCCGTTAACTCCCTGGAGGACCAGAAGGAGCGAGAGGAGATACTGAAGAGATATGTATGAAGTTCTCTTTCACCCTTTGCAAAATGTTTGCCTATATAAAAAATAACTATCATGAGGGTAAAAATCTGAATATATCTCTTATATTCTAAGAACACCTTGCCAATGACAATAATTTAAATCAGTTACTAATGCAGAAATAGTTACGGCTGGTACAGGTAACATCAAGAGGGCTACAAATGCTCTTCATACAGTAAAGTATTTTTTACATGGTAATTCAACTGTTTATGACATAAGATGTCATATAAGGAAGTTAATTTTACTGCCTTGCACATAATTTTTACTAGGCCCAAAGTACCTAAGGGGTCACTCAGCGAATGTACACTTTCTAGTGATTTTTTGTGCCAAATAGTTTGAGTTGCCAGTAGTTTACAGCTTTTTTTGAACATCTGTTAAAAGGCAAGAAAACTTTTCTTTTGCCTTCATATTAGAGGCTGAAGCAGTATTTTATATCGTCAAACTAATTGTTTTAAACAGTATTTCCATTTCAAAATATTCTGAAGCAAATTATTTCCATTTCCCAGCATCCTCACATTACACAGTATCTTTGTAATTTTATCAAAGCAACAGAGAGGGGAGCTCTTACTCCAGCATTTGCTAGTGCCTGAATCCCTAAAAGTAACTGTTTCACTATGCATGGAGAAAGAAAGAAAAAAAACATGCTATTTCCACTTACAATTACAAAGCTTTTATTGTACAATGCTGCCAGGTGTTTAGAAAGGCTTCTCTAGACACTCAGCCATTAAACCAAGCTCTGACTAACAAAGAGCTGCTTAATTTATTTCCAAGATTTTAAAATATTCCTATTCCATGACTGACATCCTTTCAATAACTGAATTTAATAAAGATGTACCTTATCAGGCTGTGCAGATAACATGAAGTGCTAGTACTAATGCTGTACAATATTCTTCAAACAGATTAGCAGGATGTGGGCTTCAGCAAATTTATTCTGGCTATCTCCACTGAATCAGCTGTCTGCTAATGCTTGTACAACTCATACACCAATAGTGTTATCATAAACGCAGTTTAATAGAGGTGACTTAGAGAGGCTAAATATAATATTCCTAAGTGAACTGAAAGCTAAGGTATTGTCCACCATCTTTGAAAAATAATTACAATTAAGAGAGTTATTGCACATTTTGGAATCCACCAAGACAGTCTGTGGTTGTCAGAATAGATGTCTATAAGTAGAACAAATTTCTGATGGATATGTTTTTGAGGTGACATAGTTCTTGCTACCAAGAGCAACAATACCCTATTTCTGTGGATTATTCTGTGTGGTGATATGGCAGACAAGTGATACTGATGGTTTTGATTATTTCAGTAGCAGTACAGAAACATGTTACGACTGTGTACTATTAATCAGTTTTCTTAAATTCTCATTTTTTTGTCCCCAGTGTAAAGCATAATTATGTGTAATAATATTGATCTGCTTTATTCCTGTTTCTCGCATATGCATCGATATGTGTCTTTTCTTACATTGCTGTATGGGTTTGAAAACGTTGATATTTTAGGACAGTATTCATATTGCAAAGGTGTGAATTTCTCATTATGTGTTTCTGAAAATTGTGGCTTCTACATACCTTTTGGATAAATTCTACTGGTTTTATTAAAATGACCAGCAGAAGAAAGAAATTACCAGGGTGAACACAATTCAAGTAGTTTATTTTCACTGATGTTCAGTTTGTCTTTGGTATTCATATCTCCACTTCAGAATGAATACAAGGGCAACATGTGCAATTAGCAAGACCTACAGTTCCCCACTGAAAGGCTGTATTTTTGGTTTAATTTTTTGTCCTCTTAAAAAAATCTAGCTTCCATTAGAGAAATGTATTTTGCACCCTTTCTGCGGCCAAAAACAGTTAATGAGCTGACCTTGCCATCAGATCAAATAGCCTTAAAAAATTACTCTATTACTGTCATTTAACCATTTGTAGCTGAACATCAGAGCCTTACAAATTAAACAGGCATTATTGTTTGAACCATTATTTTACCACAATTGCCTGAAAAGATTAATTCCTTTTGGGGTGAAGAGGGGGACGCATTAATGGGTACAGACCAAGAGAGATTGTATGACCTTTTCAGAACTGGTGTGCTGAACCCAGGGTCCCCCTTGTCACAGTTTAAAAACCAGAGGAGCTAGTTTAGAGAAGTTGTTAGCATTCCATTTTTATTATGACATTTCACAGTCATCTGATTTAATGTCCCTTGACCGGATTGTCCACTGTGAGACGATGGGCTTGAAATGTTATTTAGAGCATTGATAAAAGGTGAGCAGTTCTAAGATGACAGCGAGTCATAAGGCTGGTGGTGTGACATTAATTTTCTCCATAACAGAGATGGAATAAGACGTCATGGTGACAAGCTGTCAATCAGTACTGGCCCCTTAGTGTATCTTGATGCCATAGGATGGAGTATTGCTTCTCCCATAATAGAGCTGAACTGAGATGCTCTCCCTGACAGCTGCTGCAGCCATACAGAAAATATATTATACAGCCTTTCATTAAAAAAATAAAGAGGACTCATCTCCAGAGCATTTCAATCTTTTCCCATCTATTGAGGGCTGAAAAGATTCCCAGCAAATCACAGATTCCTCTGCTATGGAAATCTGAGGCTTCAGAAACCATGTGGGTTTTGATATCTTCAACAATAATCATAAATAAGAAGACAGAATATCATCTGATAAATCATTACTTAAAATTATGTATTTAAAGTAATGTATTAAAGTAATAGGCTTCTCCCGGAGCCTCTGCTGTGGCATCATATTTTCAGCAGAGTTATGATGTGTGAATGAATCTAAGGCAGCTGACTTGCTGGAACTAAAAGTTCAAAAATAATTATTCTGTGGGATTCTAACGAAGGTGGCAAAGCGAAATACAGCACTGGTGCCTTTCTGAGGAGTGAGCTTACCAGCATTTGGAAAAAGGGGACTGTTTGGCGTCATAGGAAGTGGGGACAGTCACTTGTCTTGCTTTGTGTTTGATTTTTGCTTTGTTTTATTTCTCCAACTTGGTGTTTGTTTGGTCATTGAGAAACTTGTGTAGAATGTGGAAATATTTTTATAAATTCTTTCACTTTCATCACAGTATTAGAGCAGCGTTATCTCTGTGGTACCAGTTCTGATAAGAAGCTTCAGAAACCAAACCTGATCATTACTGTTATAAAGGAGGGACAGTGCCAAGATGCTTTGAATTATAACAGTGCTATCTGTAACACCATCTCTGCCACCCTCAGCTTGTAAGCACATAAGCAAGGGTTTGAGTGTGTGCTGATTAAAGTTGACCATCAGTATTTTGAAGTCGTATTTATGATGATTTACTTCTTAAAATAGGTAAAAATTTATTAACTGTAATCCCATGATAACTTGCATACATTTATTTGTATGTATGTAACATGGGCTACTACAGTAAAGTGGATTTCTCAGTTCAGTATAGCAAGATCAGATCTTCACTGTAAACAGTAAATGGTCAGTTGGGGCTTCTAAAATTATTATCATTGTGAATTAACTCTTAAAATTCTCTTAGTAATAGACAGGGATGCTTATTATATGTCTAACATCTTAATGGATAGTTTGTCTATGGATAAACATACTGGGGTTTTTTGCAAGCTGGCATTTATTATTTCATTTAAACAGCATGTGTGGGTTTTAGATCTAGTGATGTTATTTATTCTGGTTTTCCAAACAGTTAATTTTGCCTAGTGATAAATTAAAGAATTGTTGAGATGGTGTTTTACCTGGTATTTGCTTTTTATGGAAACTTGGACACTGTCACGGGCAGTGGAAATATTTCACTACATTAAAATTTTAGGAAAGATGACAGACATTAGATGCATTAGTCCAGATTTCGAAATAAAGATATGTGCTAGTATTTATAAACAAGCCTTGCAAAACAAACAAAAATTAAGCGACGTTTGTATATGGTTTTAAATACATTTGCAATCCATAATTTTGCTATTTAATCCTATACTTTGGGATCCTCTCCTAGGTTATCAAACTGAATTGTAAAGCTAGGTTAGTTATTAATGGATTACATATTCAAAGTTGCATTCAATGTTCTAACATCTGAAATTCTTCAAATTTTAAATTATATTCAGAATTAGAGTTTGAGAATTATAGCTTGTCACACCTAATTAGTGCAATACTTGCAGTTTGTTAGTTTTTGTTACTCGGAAAAAAAGCAGCAACAGAACATACTTTTCAATCAGCTTTCTAAATCTGTGTTAGATGAATAAATGCAAATGTTAGTCTACTCTTAAGTTTTTTCTTTTTCTTTTTAATATACATAGATGTTGAAGAAATTTGTACTAAAGAAATATTATAATTTGTGGTAAAAGCTTTCTGCCATTTAATTCGAAACTTACTTCAATTATTTTTTTATCCTTTTTGCATGTGATTATTATGAAAATTATTAAATTGTTGTTATTGTCTTTTGATTGCTTTTGCTCATGTTACTTGCAAGCATATATAGGCATATATGTTATATGCAAGCTTGTCTATAATAGTCAACTACAAAACAACTATATTGGCCCTAGATCACTGTTAGGATATTATTGGAACCATCAAAAAGAAAATGTGAACATAGATTTTGCAAAATAATTCAAGGAGAAGAATATTTTTATTGTTTGTGTTAATTTTGTTAATTCACTGCTCTTATTTCAAATTTTGAAGTACAGTTGTTCATATACTATTAGGGGATTGATTCACTAGAATCAATGTTAGATATAATAGTTAATATTCTAATTTTTCCTTTGTAATTTTCATTAATAAGTTAAAGTTGCAAAGTACAGAAAGAAATGCTGACAGCTGTACTTCTTCAGAGAATAATATTTAAAAGTCTGAATACATGGACATATTTACATAGTAACTTGTGTCTGGGCTAGGGAGGAGACTATTAATCTTGCTTTTGGTTTGTCTTTTTTGCAATCCAGAATTATTTTTCTTTTTATTATTTTTTAGAGTCCAATGATGATGTTCCATAACATCAGCGATGTGGGATTTCTTCAGGTGAAGGTCATCAGGGCAGAGGCATTGATGGCAGCTGATGTCACAGGCAAGGTTTCATTTAGTTTCTGTGACAGTAAATACCATAGTAAAACTAGGTTTTTTTAGAAATGGAAAAAAAAATGCTTAAAACAGAAGCTCTTATAAACGTTATATTCTGTTTGCGCAGTTTCACTTTTTGCTCATTAATGAAAAAATTTAAACACAAGCAAACAGAACTTTTGTAAGCAAGCTAGCAAGTCATTCTAATGGTAGCATAGCCCTAAATAGGTTATTTCTCATAAGGGCAAAATACACATTTTTCTCCATCAGAGACCTTGTAAAATTTACATAGAAAACCCTTCTTTTTCTTAGTAGATGAAACTATACAAAATTATCAACATTAAAGCTGAGTTCCAAGGGACAAGGCAAATGAAAGGTGCTTGACTTAGATACTGCTTTAAAGTTGTTGCCGAAAGAACCAGTTGATATCTTTCAGATGTTTAGCAAGCCTGCTGTGGGTTTCAGACATTTCAAGTACATGCAGTTTACTGTAGCTACTGCTTATCTTTTCAAGAAGGAAAACAATTTTTTTTTATTCTCTATTTTATGTGATATAAGTTGAATAGTTAATATGACATTTAACTTTTCACAATAAAGGGAAAGTATTTCAGCCATACTGGCCATATTTCTCCAGAAATGTCAAAGTTAGCTCTTCTAAGTACAATCACCTTCGTACTGCACAAGTTGAATGGAGCAAAATTTTCTGCATTTGTATCAGAAAACAGCCATCTCTGCTTTAAAAAGGCAGATAAAAGATAAAAAAAAAAAAAGAAGATAAAAGGAAGTTAGACTTACCTGGTTTAATTGCTTTTAGGACATAAATGTTCTGTTATGGGAGCAGATGTAGTTACATAACAACTTATTCACTTTCAATAGTTTTTTGATAATTAGCATGACTGTCAGGATTTCAGACAAGGTAACAGTGGAAATATTTTATTGCTGAAACTGATCCAGTTTATGGCACACAAAATAACAGATTCTGTTTTTGGGGAGGTTGGAGGAATGCTGCTAAAGATTCCTCACTATGCTTTGACCTTATAATCCAATGTGGTCTGAACAGAGAGAGAGATTAAGTTATTCAGGGGCAAATGGGATAATTCAGTCCCTCATCTCGTTCAGTCTTCGACTTTTTCAAATGAACATGTTATTTGTGCTGGTTGAACAATTGTTTTGGAATTACCTTTGATTCAATTAAAGATGTACAGAGCTACCAAAAGTTTTCAGACGTTGCATTTAGGATGACAATCAGAAAGAAGGGGAAGAACACTCGATATCTTCCCGTGTCTTATAATAACAAAATATTCTGGTTTTTAGTAAGAAAAAGCATTTATACAGCAGATACTAAGATGGCTGCACATTTCAGAGGTGACAGAAATCATTATATATTTTGGACAAAAGTACCTGGCATTTTGAAAAGAGGGCAAAGGGGGTTTATTATGTACTGTAATAATTTATAGCTATTTTTAGTAACTTGTTGGTATGTACAAATCATTCATTTAAAATTAAACTTTCAATAGTAATATTGAGAAATAACTCAAAGTAGCTATTGTCAGTAAATCATGTTTGCAGAAATTTTGTAAAAACTTGACCCACCACCCTTACTCAACTAAGCAATACTTACTAGTCAGTAAGGAGAGTGCTGCCATCAGTGGTGTTACTCACACCACTAAGGACTGCTTCTTTGAGTAAAAGCTAAGGACTAGTTTGCTTTTCTTACTGTGTTGTGTTTTCAGAGTTAATCTTTTGTCCCTGAGTCTGAAAAATAGCTAGAACAACTGTATAGTATCTGTGTGGTTTGCTCTGCTTCCTTCCTGCTGAATGCATCCCATTTCACTTCCAGGAATCTTTTCATGTGAAGTAATAAATCAAATTTTATTAGTTTGAGCTGAGTAGATTCTTAAAATCCTTAGTATTCCATCATTAAGCATAAGCACAGACAGAAAAAGATTTCTGTAGTCTTTTAAGTAGTCATCAATGTTGCAAGGATTTTTTTTTCCCTTTCAAAACATGAAATTTTTCTTTTGTTACTGTACATTCATCGAGCAGCATTGTAATACTGTATTAACTCTGTGTGAATAAAGAGTAATTGAGACTCCTGTTGAATGAATGAGTAAAAAACACAAATTACTTTTTAATGAAACCCTCAATTCTTTTCCTTTTGTCAGAAGGCTCATAGCCTTTTTCAGCTGAATGCTACTACAGTAGGTCACTTCAGTTAAGCCCCTAATAAACTGTTGATAGCCAGGGCAGTTTTTTTCTCCAATTTCAATAGTCTGGTGTTGGACAGTGCACTTCAAATCTTTAAAGTTAGTACAGATTTTTTTTTTTAAAGGAGAGTGATTAACGGTGGTGGTTCAGGCCTAAGCTTAGAAGCCTCCTCACATACACATGCATTGAATAGGGAGCCAGAGTAAGCGAAAATTTCAGTTGAATTGTGGCCAGGGGAGCAAGTGGGCACTACCAGTTTTGAAATGGGGCACTGCTGGAGCATGCTATAACTGGGTATTGAAAATATCCCAGTATAAAATAAAGTCAGTCAGACTTCTCACTCAACGCACTCGCAAAGAGGTCTAGGCTTTAAAGGAAGGACCACTGAGGGGTTGAGAGATTCCCCACTGGTGCTTGAAAGCTCACCTTGATTTTGGGAACAGCAAAAACAGGGCATCTTTCAGGACTGGGGCCTTTGGGGGAATTGCTGGGTCTGTGAGGATGTTTTCTCAGAGGAAAATAGTGTCTTTCCATGGTCAAAACACAATTTTCCACCAGTTGGATTCCACCAGTGCAAAATTACGTTCTGTTGGAAATTATAGTCACAGCAAATACACCTTCCTCAAAATTACATATTTTTTAGTGTGATTATTTGGAACTCTAATCTAATGAATGGAAAGATGTTGAGCATGGACTTTACTTTTTACTTCTTGCTCCGAGAAGAAATTTTCAGTTGAATCTTCTATTGTATTTTAGCTATTCAATGCATGGTTGTTTTCTCCCTAAATCCTCAGCTATGAGAAGTTATATTTTTCTGTTTCCCTACATCTTTACTGACTTGTGTTTTCTGTGGCAGACCTTCTCAAGGATTTGGCAGCTTGTGGAGTCCTGGCAGGGTAGGAGCTGTGCCTACAATGACATGAAGAAATACTCTGATGATGCAGTAAAACCTAAAGTATAATGGACTCATCATGATAGTTGGCTTCTGACATTATACATATGGTTTTCACCTAAGGCCTACAAATTTCAGAAAGCAATAGGGTCTTTACCGTAACATAGTTTAGGTTTAGGAAATAGTCAGATACGTGTATTCCTTTCACAGCGTAGCTGGGTATAGGTGGTCAAAGGCTGCTGGCTTTGCAAGGCAGTGCCTGCATCTCCTTTACTGGGGCAGGTGCATCCGTCCTTTTCCTTGTGTCACAAAACAAAATTCAAAATCTCTGCCTTATGAGAAGCAAGCAGTATGGGAAAAGATCTGCCACAGGTTTGACTGATTCCAGCAAAAGTGCTGTGTTTTAAAGGAATAGCAACTCAGAGCAAAACCCAAGCTCCATAAGATGGCCTGCCTAGAAAACAGTTTATTTGGCTGCCTTTGGGCTTTAATTAAGATGTGTTCAATTCTAGCCCCTGGCTCCCCTCTCCCCCTACCCCCATCCCTCTTGCTGTGTCACAGACCACCGATCAGACGCTTTCAGATGGTCCAGCCCATGACTTTGACCTTCTGCATGGTCTGGCGTTCCCTGGGGAACCGTTCAGCTCATGAGGTCTGATTTCACACTTCCAGGATGCCTCGGCTCTCATAACAATGACAGGGAGACAAAGCCCTTTAGAGTGGGCTGCATGGGGACTTGTTTAAATTGGAAACTAGAGAGGAGTCAAGGAACAAGGTTACAGGCTACCGAATAGTGCTTTTAATAAAGAGCTCACAGCTCTGGTTCAGCTCAAAGAGGGCTACCTCTGTACAATTAATTGAGACATTTATCGGGAGCATCTTAGGCCTCCACTTTCTCACAGAATTATGTGGTAAATATCAGCTAAGAGGCAAATGAGATGTGCATGAAATGAATTTTTAACACTTTGATTACTGTGTCTCCAGTCTTCATTAGAAGTGAATTTATTTGTATTTCTGACCTCATTAATAATCAATTGTTTGCATTTTTTCTGTGTACTGTAATTTCAGAACGTGGTATATCAGATGGACTTTACTGTGATATTTAGGTCTGCAGTCGAAATTTTCAGGCTTTTCCTCCTCTGAAAAGTAGAAACTAAGCATAGAAAATTAGTCAGATTTTTGTTTTATTCTTTTTTTTTTCAGTTTTATGTCTGGAATTCAACCTCTCTTCTAAGAAAATTCCATGTAAAATTTTGATTACAGTACTTGAAAGTATGATGAAGACACCGAGATGGCTAATTGTGCAAAGTGTAAATGATTTTTCTGAAATCTGTTCTACTAAACTGTCTTAATATCACATCTTTGAAATTGTTCTTCCAATGCTAGGAAATATCAGAGTACACAAACATTAAATTCACAAAGGTGTGGAAGCCCATGCATGTAAAATTGAAGAAATGAATTTTCACTGGCCCTTGGAAATACGGTTCCAAAAGTAATTTGCTCTGTCAATTAGAGGCAAACATATTTCAATATACACTTGAACTATCTCCACTAAGTATGGAAATCTAGTAGATGAGCAGGACTTTTATCTATCTATGGTAGATAAAGTCTCACCAAGTCCTATAATATAGATTGCCTGAAGACTTCGGTCCATTATCACATACTGCAAAACTAGTGTTTTTTCAAGTACCATTTCTAGGATAGTAATGGCAAAATTAGGACTTAAAAGATATTTTAAAAAGATATTTTATTAAAAGATATTTTTTGTTAACCATAGCATTTACAATTAAATTTACACTGAAAGGATATCTTGTGATTATTAAATTTTCTTTTTCTGTAAATACTCTGTGGAGATGAGTTTAACTTGGTTATGGCACTGCACTACCTTGCTTAGTAAGACACCTCAG